GCTGTAAAGATTGGTGGATAGAGAAAGGGGGAATGCATTGGGGGCAGGGGACAGGTATGAGCTGGTGTAACAGTTACACTCCAGTCATTTTAGTTTTACAACTGTCCCCTCCTGTATGTTGTCCCACCTTCCCTCCCTCCCTAGTGGCTTCATAGGGGCTTGGGGTGTTGGGGTGCGACTTCCAAGTTCTGCTGATTTTTCTTGACTGCTGACTTTTACGATCACCAAATCCCATTACCCTTCCATTCTCAATAATTTGCGCAACACCATGTTAAGTCGGTAAGGGCAACGGCTACTGCTTTATTTAAACCAGCACAACCAAATACTGTCAGCTGCTGGTTTTACCCAGCAGACAGGTACAGTTTAAACTTCTCCCAGAGCCTCTTCAGCCAGTCATCATCATAATCCAAACTCAGGCTGTGACTTCCCAAGCCCGTCCAGGCATTATTCATTTACCAAACTTGCTGGTGCAGGAAAGAGCTGACATACCCTGATCCACTGACATGGATGTCCCATGATGCTGCAAGTCAGAAAGAAAGGCTAAAGTGGATGACAACCTATTTTCTGAAGAAGACCAACCAAATTCTCCTACCACACAAATCTATTGATTTCACACTGTCAGGTATGCTTCCAAAGACGTGGGAGCCAGGAACCTCCCAATCAAGTCAGTCAAGTTCCAAAACTGAGGTTCCAGAAGCATTCGGGGTACTCCACAAGCCTCTACCTCACCTCCCAAAATTGTTCCTACTGGAAGCGAGAAAGAGAGTCAGCAATACATTAGACACCCGAACCAAATATTAAATTCCAAGCAATGTAGAACCAATTGTTGCAATAAGGCCAATACCGGAATAAAACTCAATGATAACTGGTTCACAACTTGCACTGCACTAAGGTTATCAGCACGGAAAAGAACCTGCCACTTTGCCAAAGCTGAAACCCAGAGCTTGACCAACACTACAATCGGGAATAGCACCAAAAAGGAATATGACCACGCCAGTGGTCCGCACATCATAGCCCTCATACAAGGGCACCAAAACCAGCCAAGCCATAGACTTCATGAACAGCTCAAAGGCCAAGTTAGACACTTTGTAACTGCACCAAAATGTCTGACCATTGTAACCCACGAGGAACAAAACTTCAAACTCCCAAAAGGCGAGTAAAAGGTAGCAGAAAACCAACCATAGCCAAAGAAAGTCAGTGATTGAAAGCACGCCCCATGGGCATAAGTTACATACAAAATTCAAATG